CCCGAATGAACACGGCACGTAGAAGAAAAAGAACAATTTTGATTAAATTGATGACAGAACAGGTAAGGAAAAGACCAAATTTATTAAGGGCAGGTTACTGTGAATATTAAAGGAAGCTGTAAGAGAGAATGATTGTCTATGTCCTGGAGCAGTGATTCTCAGTGAAGCCTTGTCTGATAGATCCTCTCAAGTGTACCGTGAAAGTATGACTGGATCCGACATTCCTTCAGAAATGTCCCTTCTAATATTGATTAATATTCGGTTAAGTGAAGAATTGGCCACCATTTCTAGTGATCGAAGGCCCAAAATAAAACATTCGAGGGTAACCATTGATACATTTTAGAATTCAATACAAAAAGGAATATCCCGCATTAGCTAAAAACGCTTTATAAGTTTTATTGCAATTTTCTCCTTATTCGTGTGAATTAGGCTGCTCCACCCTAAATAGCATCAAAATTACACTCAACTGAGGAAGAAATGATGGTTTGCACATTCGACCAAACATTGAAGAAATCGCGAAAAAAAAAAAAAAAAAAAAAAAAAAGGAGAAGAAAAGAAAGTAAAAAAAAAGGAAAGAAAAAAAAAAGAAAAAAAAAAAGTAAAAAAAAAGGAAAAAAAGAAAAAAAAAAAAAGAGAAGAAAAGAAAAAGTAAAAAAAAAGGAGAAGAAAAGAAAGTAAAAAAAAGGAGAAGAAAAGAAAAGTAAAAAAAAAAAGAAGAAAAGAAAAGTAAAAAAAAAGGAGAAAAGAAAAAAAAAAAGAAGAAAAGAAAGTAAAAAAAGGAGAAGAAAAGAAAGTAAAAAAAAAAGGAGAAGAAAAGAAAGTAAAAAAGGAGAAGAAAAGAAAGTAAAAAAAAAGGAGAAGAAAAGAAAGTAAAAAAAAGGAGAAGAAAAAAAAGTAAAAAAAGGAAGAAAAAAAAGAAAAAAAAAGGAGAAGAAAAAGAAAGTAAAAAAGGAGAAAAAGAAAAAAGGAGAAGAAAAAGAAAAAAAAAAAAGGAGAAGAAAAGAAAAAAAAAAAGGAGAAGAAAAGAAAGTAAAAAAGGAGAAGAAAAGAAAAAAAAAAAGGAGAAAAAAGAAAGTAAAAAAAAAGAAGAAAAGAAAGTAAAAAAAGGAGAAGAAAAGAAAGTAAAAAAAGGAGAAGAAAAGAAAAGTAAAAAAAGGAGAAGAAAAGAAAAATGTAAAAAAAGGAGAAGAAAAGAAAAAAAAAAAAGGAGAAGAAAAGAAAGTAAAAAAAAAAGGAGAAGAAAAGAAAGTAAAAAAAGGAGAAGAAAAGAAAGTAAAAAAAAAGGAGAAGAAAAAGAAAGTAAAAAAAGGAGAAGAAAAGAAAGTAAAAAAAAGGAGAAGAAAAGAAAAAAAGGAGAAAAAAAAAAAAGAAAAAAAAAAAAGGAGAAGAAAAAGTAAAAAAGGAGAAAAAAGAAAGTAAAAAAAAAGGAAAGAAAAGAAAAAAAAAAGGAGAAGAAAAGAAAGTAAAAAAAGGAGAAAAAAGAAAGTAAAAAAAGGAGAAGAAAAGAAAGTAAAAAAGGAGAAGAAAAGAAAGTAAAAAAAGGAGAAGAAAAGAAAGTAAAAAAAAGGAGAAGAAAAGAAAAAAAAAAGGAGAAGAAAAAGAAAGTAAAAAAAGAAGAAAAGAAAGTAAAAAAAGGAGGAAGAAAAGAAAAAAAAAAAGAAAGTAAAAAAAAAAAAGAAAAGAAAGTAAAAAAGGAGAAAAAAGAAAGTAAAAAAGGAGAAGAAAAGAAAGTAAAAAAAAGAAGAAAAGTAAAAAAAAAAAGGAGAAGAAAAGAAAGTAAAAAAAAGGAGAAGAAAAGAAAGTAAAAAAAAGGAGAAGAAAAGAAAGTAAAAAAAGGAGAAGAAAAGAAAAAAAAGGAGAAGAAAAGAAAGTAAAAAAAGGAGAAGAAAAGAAAAAAAAAAAGGAAAGAAAAGAAAGTAAAAAAAAAAGAAATGAAAGTAAAAAAGGAGAAGAAAAGTAAAAAAGGAGAAGAAAAAAAGGAGAAAAAAGTAAAAAGAAAGAAAAGTAAAAAAAGGAGAAGAAAAGTAAAAAAAAAAAGAGAAGAAAAGTAAAAAAAAGGAGAAGAAAAGAAAGTAAAAAAAAGGAGAAGAAAAGAAAGTAAAAAAAAGGAGAAGAAAAGAAAGTAAAAAAAAGGAGAAGAAAAGAAAGTAAAAAAAGGAGAAGAAAAGAAAGTAAAAAAAGGAGAAGAAAAGAAAGTAAAAAAAAGGAGAAGAAAAGAAAGTAAAAAAAAAAAGTGAAAAAAAGGAGAAGAAAAGAAAGTAAAAAAAAAAAAGAAGAAAAGAAAGTAAAAAAAGGAGAAGAAAAGAAAGTAAAAAAAAAAGAAGAAAACTCAGGCACAGATAAATAAGCTGAACAAATCGTTAAATAAAAGTATTGAAATAAAATAAGTGAATATTTGTACGTTTTAGTTTTAAAATCTATGGTTTTATTTCATAACATTTGACAAGTGTGCAGTGATATTTTCATTTTTCTCCTCAGTGTGTCGTTGCTTAAAAAGGTTGAGACACACTGTTTTACACGGATTTTTTTTTTTTTTTTTTTTTATGATGAAACATTGTGATAATCTTTTAAAAAATCGTTTTGTATACTTTAGAAACGAATTTGTATGAATCGACTGAAATGATCTCTTAATAATTTATCACAATATCATCTTTTGTTATACAAATCTTTTGCACGAAAAAGAGTGAAATTTGAGGAGATTTGTTTTCTAGAATTGGAGATGAAGTATTTCACATGAAGTGCAAAGTATTTTGCTATTTCTAATTAATTAAAGGAGGAATAATTATAATTACTAATGTTTTAAAATTAATGGAATTTGCTAATTGCATATTCTGGTTTTAATATAAAAGCGACAAAGGAATGGTTGTGGCCCTGAAGAATTGTCTGCGAAAAAAAAAAAAAAAAAAAAAAAAAAAAAAAAAAGAAAGCAACTTAAAGAAATAAAGACAGAACAATTTTGAATATGCCGTTATGCAAAGCGCTAACGAAAGACAATTATTAAAAACAGTTTATCTTTCATTTTTACTGCCCCAGAAATTAGGTGAATATCTAATCAAATGAAATTTATTTTATTTGCCCACAACCTTAAAATAAAAAAGGGGGGAACGATGCCCTATTTCATGCTTTAAAATAAATACAGTAACCAGTTTTTGTGTTGTTTTTCTTTTCTCTAGCCCCCCGCTCCCAATTTCATCGTGGAAAGATAATTAAACAAACAAAGTAACAAAACGTGAGCTGGAGTACTAAGCTACAAATACCTAATTCGGAGAAACGATGGCGGAAATTATTTATTTAAATATGTCTCTAGATGTCTGGATTTTTATCAGTGATACAGCTGGTAGTGCTGTTGTTAGTAACCATCAAAAGGTTCTGCACAAAAGTTGGACATTTTTTTTCTTTTTTTTTTTTGGTAGGGAGGTGGTAGAAGTGAAATTTCATTATTTACAAAACAGTGGGTTGGAAAAAAAGCGTCGAAAGTTTTCTAGTTGCTGTCGGAACGGGGCCCCAAGCCAAACACACACACACCTAGTATGGGAAACAGACGTGTAAAGTCCGTCTAAATTAGAGCAAGCAAAAGGACAGAGAAGGCAACAAAATAAAAATAAAATATTCGAAACCTGAAGCAGCTGAGGCCCGGACCGATCAACATGAACATTTGTGATGCCAAATGACATTTTGCATTTCTATCACATCTCTTACATTCACCGAGGCAAAAGCACTTTTTACCGCTGTACTGCCCCACTTCTTCAGGAACCTGACATTCATATTCACACACGCATATATATATATATATATATATATATATATATATATATATATATATATGATGAAAACGGAGATTTTAAAAATCCATGCTAGTAATTTATTTCGTGGGATCAATCAGATCCTGTCTCTTCGAACAATTTTACAACAATTTCGCTGGAAAATTGTTTTGTCTGAAATGACGGGATCTGATTGATTCCTCGAAATAAATTACTACCATGGATTTATAGCGAAGACAGTTCACCTTAAATGTCTTTTCTCTCAGTATCCCACTGACTGACAGTATTTTGGTTTCATACTATCTTTGACATCGGTATATATATATATATATATATATATATATATATATATAACTTTAAACGTTATACTTTTTTTTAACAGTGGGAATTGAATATACTGGTCAGTTATTTGATTTATTTATGGATGCATTTTCTGCGCTTTATCAACACTTTGCGGGTTATTTAAAAGCAAGAAAATGTTTTCTAGATCGAAAAAATTTTTGGAATCATAATGCTTTAGTCATACAAGTCTTACTAATTAATCCATAACTGGGGGCATAAAGAGGTGCATTCATACCATTCGCAATGTTATATGCGCATATGTGAATATAACGAACTCGATTGGAATTCGAACTTGAGCCATGTTTCAATTCCTATTATTAATTCCGAGCCGTTATCCATTACACCAGCAATGCACAGCCAAGCTGAGAGAACCTGGTATTCTCCAGGATGTCACCCATTTACCGGCTTATGCACTTAAAGATATCTGGAATGCGCAAGTTGGTAGAATAAACACTGATTATATATATATATATATATATATATATATATATACTACGCCACATATATATTTACGGTTGTGTGTGTGTGTGTGTGTGTAACAATTGAGGGGTGGGAGTGCGCAAAATAATGATTACCCACTTGCTCAAATTCAAGTTATTTTTCTTTTTTTTTGGGGGGGAAGAAAAAAAAACTTTAGTTAAATAAAAATGATGCGAGACAGACAGGAGTTACGGCAACATTAGTCTTGTTAAATATTTGTCTATTAACTATATTTTATTTAAATTAATTTTCGAAAAAAATAAGGCACGCGATAGTTTTTGATTCCATAAAACTTAATTTAAAATTATTTACTTTTTTTCATGTTGGTAACAAATCAAAAAAAAAAAATAAATAAATAAAAAATAAGTTTATTTTTTTTTTAAAGATTGAATTAAAAATTATTTTCCCTAACATAAATTATTTTTCTGTCTCATAGTTTCCGAGTGGGCAGAGACTCTTGCGTTGGCTCGGCCTGGACTAATACAAGATATTTTGTTTGAAATTTTCTTTGTAAAGTAAATTTTAAAAAATTGGGGCGGGGAAGCATGATTAATAAAACTTTAAAGTAATTACACAAAAAAGAAAAAAGTGGAAATAAATTCAAGAGAAGAGAAAATTTAAAAATACATATAGCGTTTTGAAATTATCAGAATAAAAAAGTAAAAACGAACGGTAATAATAATTATTCCGGTTCGTTTTACTTTTTAATTCTTGGAAATTTCGAAACGCTTACATGGCTAAAAATGGATTCTAATGCAATTACTGCGTATTTTTAATTGTAAAATATCTTCGCAAATACAAAGATGTATTGGCTAAAACCGAGTCTGTATATATATTTATTTTGTTGTTAATTATTGTATATTACAATTCGGAGCATATCTTGTGGAATTTGGTAATAGATTAAAAAAAAATAATTAAAAATATATCTGATGATACGTTGCTCTTAGTAGGACGAGAAATAAGCAGTCTCTGAAATTACAGATTGAATCTACTGTCAAGGTCTACTGAGAACTTCCAAAGTTTAGACAAAAAATATTGTGCTTTGGGAACTTTTGCAATAAACATAATTTTGGTTGTAAATATGTAACATTTATGAGGATAATATACGGATATCTTTTTTTTTTTTTGGTTTATAAATTTAACACTGTTCTATTATAAACATTAGCGGCGAAATATTTTAAATTACAAAATTGTACTCGATTTAAACGAAAATTACTAACAATACATATTAATTATAATACGTTCCTTCTTCTCATCAATTTTGATGACAGGGATACACTTGTGTGTGTTTATGTGTGCGTGTTTTATGACATATCACTGCTTCCAGAGTTTCACGGACGGCAAGTTCTTCAGGATGGACTGATATATATTTATTTATTTATATCAAAGGCAATGTAAAAAAAAAATATTAATTATAATTTCATAATTTAATTGTAATCTACATTCTATATAATACTACACGTCTGCGAATCGTGCTTGCGTGGCGCGTCGTTCGTAGGGCGCATAATGATTTAATTTTCTTTCAACATTTCTCTTTCCAATTCTTTCTCTTTCCAACTCTCTCTATCCAACCTCTCTATCTTTTTCCCACCACTATTTTTTCACATCTCTCTCTTTCCAACTCTCCCTCTCTCTTTTCACTTCTCTCTTTCCACCTCTGAGATTTCGTGCGTGCTTATTTATATTTCAGCTTTCTTTAAACAATGTTTTAAATATTTGAAAAAATATTTTCAAGTGAATATGATTTAAAAAGTATTTTTAGAATATTAAAATAGTTTTATGTTAGTCTGATTTAAAAATATTTTACGTGAATAAGATTTAAAAATACGAGTTGTATATACAGTAAATATTTTTATTTTAACTTTCTTCAAACAGATAAAAATATTTTAATTAAAAAAATTAAGTTAAAGACAGACACAAAGAGATCCCGCTTTGCCGTTTCATTCGGCTTTTTGTAGAATAATTATATTCATTTCAGCTCTCTTTAAACAGACAATATTTTAAATATTTAAAAAAGTATGTTTAAGTTCATTTGATTTAGAAAATAATTAAGTGAATAACATTTAAAAATACGAGTTGTTCATACAAGTAAGTCATTTTTTCAACTTTCTTCAAACAGACAAAGTTTAATGTTGAAATCATCTTCAATGTTTTATAACCTGAACTATCAGTGACCCAGCAGGTCACGGGTAGTCTGGTTATTTTTAAAATTTCAAGAAGGAAATTGAAAAAAAGAAAAATTGTACTTACTGACACATTCCTTGCCGTCAATACCCTGGTAACCTTGTAGACATTTACAGCCACCAAACGCTATGTCCCATGTTCCGTCACTGCGGCACAGGTAAGTAGGTTTAGTTTCCTCAACAGCGTTGGGCACACACTCTCCTTGCTTCTGCACAAGTGATGAAGGTCGGTCACCAGTTGGGGTCTCCATGAAAAATGCATAGTTGATTGTGATATTCGGACATGTTACGTAATAGATACGAACAGAGAGCAGTGTGATGCACGCACCGGTGTCTTGGAAGGCGAAGTAGACACCTTTACGCTTTATCGTAACATGTTTCGTTTCCATGTTGACCACAACATCCGTTGGCTGCACGTAGAGGCTATCAGCGGCGATTGTGTCAATCTTGGTGTACACCTGTGGATCCCACGTCGGCATGTGATTATTTGCAAAATCAGATTCTGCTTCGTAATAATAGAGATTAAACGTTTCCTTGCATTGTTGTAGACTACTGGGGTCATTGTGCCGAATGCATTTGCGCATCGTGAAACTCATCTCTATGTGCAGACTCTTGGCATCACCTCGATCTATGTACGGTGTCCTCAGCCAGTTGTTAATATTCATAAAGGTCACATAACACGAGGAATAGGCCTGAACAGTCTCACCTAAATAACTGCTGCTACCAAGTAACCACTGCAAAGAGTGGAAACCATTCAAGGAAGAAGAAAAAAAATAAGAGAAAAAAATAGGTTAGAAATTAAAATAGAAATGAAAAAAGTACATTTTTTTTGGTTAAAATAATACATTAACAAAAACATAGCAATCTTAGAAATTGTACTATAAAAATTATGACAAATGTCAATGATATATATATATATATATATATATATATATATATATATATATATATATATATATATATACACACAGATTTCAATCTTTAGAAATAATATCCGTCATTTGAGCCCCCACGTTGCAAATTATTTAATTTTTTTTTTTTTTTTGGGGGGAAAAAACAGACAATAAAACGGAAAGTAAGGAGAAGAAAAAAAAATCGAGAGAAAGGGTCTGAAACACCTGAACCCATAGGACATCTAACATTAATTGGCTTTTAACACTGAATTGATTGATCAGTTACATATATATATATATATATATATATATATATATATATATATATATGTGTGTGTGTGTGTGTGATAGATATTTTTGTGTGCGTCAAGTATCAGATATAATTAAAAATATATTTGTAAAAGGCTTATGAATAAAGACAAAAATGAACACGTTTCGTCTTCTGATAGACATTTGACTTGATAAAGTCCATTACAAGACGAACTTTCCTCTCTCTCTCTCTCTCTATATATATATATATATATATGTGTGTGTGTGTGTGTGGAAAAAACGGAGACTGTGCACAAAAGATTGTGCTACTTTTATAATCTTCCTACGGGACCGGATTTCTGGAACATACAATATAATTGATCATTCATGTATTTTATTTTGTAGCAATACATTTTTATTACTTCAAACCTTATTTGTAGTGTATATTTGTATTTGAATAGACGCCCTCTCTCATATATATTTAATTTTATTACCTCAAAGGTTATATTTAGCAGAACGGATATCCGTATTTGTATAGATGTTCCATTTTATTTTAAACTATTTCGTCTAACGACCTGCGCATTCATGAAATCCTATTAAAGAAAATGTACCTCCAGCAGGATTCGAATCTACGTTCCCTTTTGGAGGAGACACCACCGTATGATCCGAGATGCTCGTATCCTGCCGGTGGGGGAGGTGGGGCATATTTTCTCGGATACGCAGGCCGGCAGACGAAATAAATCCCGTTTAAAATGAAACCGAGCGTCTACTCGAATACGGTCATCCACTAAAAAATAACGTCTGAAGTAATTAAAATATTTCGAATTAAATGTAATCTATCAACTCTCATATTATATATATATATATATATATATATATATATCTCATGGCTCTTCGTTTTAATATGTCTGTTTCTACTGAAATATCACTTGCCATTTTATAGCCATTACATGTTGGGAAATATTTAAAAATAATGAAATTCCTGGCTATATTACAACGAAAGCGTTGAAGCAAGTTGTGCGCAATACAGAATTCAGGCGGATCCGTGATTGGCTCTAAGCAGAGGACATTATTTCGGCAAACGAAAAAAAAACAGTGGTATATAGAGAGAATGCTACATTTGCAAACATACAAAACTATAGAGACAAACTGGTTTCATTACAGGTTTTGAACAGTGCAGCACAAAGGATTATATACATATATATTTAAATATATATATGAGGTAAATACTGACATATCGTAAAACACAATGCTTCAAGTGAGGACACACAGACCAAAGAAAACTAACGTGTGATCAACAAACGAAAAAGAAATATCATTTCTCTCTCTTTCAGAAGTAAATATTTAAAACCAAAACCCCTTATGAATTCGTAAGACTGAATTAAGATTGAATGACTCCACGAAGTAGCGTCGTAGCATCAGATATCTGAAAGAAAAAAAAACAAAAAAAAAAAATACGAACGGTAGGCTGAAAATACAGTTATGCACAAAATGGAGGAATAGAATTTTATGAAGTAAAAACTGAAATTTAAAAAAAAAAAAAAAAAAAAAAAGAAAAATGGCAACAAATTCAAATAAAATCAAAAGGCAGTTTTGACATTAGTCTTTTGTTATCGATCAGGTTGAATGTAGGTCTATAATCAAGAGCATTTGTTGACTATTTTCGAATACCCTCTTCATGCACATCCATCATGCTGACTTCATGCAAGTATCTTATTCATAAACACGCATCTAGAAACATAAGCTTAAAAATCTCAGAAAAAGAAATAAATTCACACAGGCATTTTCTTTTCCGACCAACCAAGCTACATTATATATTTATTGAAAAAAGAAAATACATATAGCTATAGATTTGATGTGTCCAGTAACTATAACATTCAGACTAATGTTGAAAATGCTTAAGCCCGTTTGTAAGGAACAGAAGGACCCTCATGGCAAAAGCATACAAAGAACAATATATGGCAAGCATTATTTTGGCATAATACATTTATTAAAAAAAATTATATATATATATATATATATATATATATATATATATATATATATATATATATATAAATATATATATAAAACATAACAAAATAGTAAAAATACTGAAGATTTTTGATCTTAAACATTGGTGAGCTAGTTGTATTTGCCTGTAAAATAATGTATGGTCCTTCAGATGTTTCACACCGGTGCTTGCCAACGGAGACTAGGCGTGTCTACAAATTATTGACTCAAGATAAAGACAGTTTGAAGTCAGATTCGAATTTTGATGCTTTTTCTTTTGTCAGTGTCCACTCAGAGGAGTTAACGATCAGTCCATTTAAGAAAACCATTTTTGATTTCAAAGAAATAAGTAAAATATAAATGCAATTCATATCGGTGCTCTGAGAAACAAACAAAAAAAAAAATACAAAACGTTTTAATTATAAAATTAAAATCATTCATTTAATCCTGAGACAATCAATAGACAGTTCACAAGTTTTCGTTTATCCTCAACACAAATAAGTCATAAATATGCATTTAGATCTACAAAACAAATCTTTGAAATTAAAAAATAGTTTAATTAAAAAAAAAAAAAAAATAAATAAATTTACACTTACAAATTATAAAAAATACTTAGATATTCTTAAAAAAATATTAATCCAGGATTGGATTAAACATCAAACAAAATATCCACGTGCCTAGCATATAAAAATAAACGAGGACATTAGTTTTTATTCTGAGGATATTAAGTCCTATTAATCAGACCATATTTATGATCGTGGCCGGTAACAAAGTGACATAAAAAAACCCAAAAAAAAACCCTATAATTTTAGATAGAAAAAACAAAGAAAAAAAACACAGAAAAAGTCATAGCTTGGTTTTGCGAATATTTTTGGTATCCATTGTGGCAGATTTTTAAACCACGCTTATTACTGTCGATAATTTCCATGGGAGGAGGTGTACAAATTATTTTTCACTAAATCGAAGAATTGTTGATCCAAAATAGTACTGAGACCCGGGATTTCCACGATTCACTTTGTTTTTACGTCTAGGGTTAGGAATAAGAATATTCTGGCTAGGGTTAATAAAAAGCCTAATAAAGAAAAAAGCCGAAACTATGCTATCATTGTCTTGTTTCCTTTTTTCTTGTGACGTTTTGATTTGCTTCTGGATTCTTTACAGTAAGCCCTGAGAGTACACGTTTAAAAAGAAAAGAGCTAAAAAATATCCCGTTTTATTATTCATTAACCATTTAAAAAAAAAAAGGTGGGGGTTAAAAAAATGCTTCTTTTCAGCACTTTAAACGATGCACTACCCAGTGTCAAACATCTTTATTTTATATACAATCCAACATATAGCTGCTGATTGAGTTCCAAACGGAAGTACAATGAATTGTGGGAAGGCTTAAGCTATGTCTACCTAATTCGCTTTGTGAACTGCGCTGTTACTTTCCTTTTATTTTTAACAATGCCGTTCACCTTGTACAAAGCCCAAACAAAAGCAACTCGCGATAGAAAGTTACAGAATAGGGGCCACAGTTTATGTGGAGAAGATAACGGTTATCCATTGAGTTGAATAAGTTAAAATTCTATTGATGGATGATTTTTTTAAAAACATGTTCACCCAATAGAATGCCCAAGAGTCACTCAACATAGAGGGTTATTGTGTTGTATGAGCGTAAGAAAGGGCAAGAAGTGAAAGTTTTAGGGGCTATACAGGAAAGATAACGAGTAATCCTAGACTTGAAGAATTAGTGAATAAGATTTCGGAGTTCAGGCGGAGATTTTAGAAGCATAGCGTACAAAAGGACTTTAGAAGGAACCTAATGCCCAGTTCTAAAAAGGAAACAAGGGATAAACCACTGCTCCTATTAAAAAAAAAAACATATCTATTCCTACTGATGAGAAGAAAATAAATAAATATTCCAGATATTAGGCGGAGACGTTAGAAGTATAGACTTTAGAAGGAAACGGAATTGTAAAAATGAAACAAGGAATAAACTTCTGCTCCTGTTCGAAAGAGTGATGACGTGTGTGAACCGGACGATAGGCGAACCTATCTACTCCTATCCCCGTGTGAGTCAGTTCCGTAAAGCAGCTGTTCCTGGAAAGAAGATGGACTAGTGGAACTCACATGGTGAAATGCCTTGCTTTTGTATTTATTACTTTAAGTTGTTTTTGTTTGTTTTTTTCGAAATCAAGCTGCCTCCTTATTTTTAACCATATGGTATTTATCATTTCACCCACGGGAAACGAATATGGCACAAGGCCGGTTTTATTGTGGGTTTCTCCGAGCCTAAATAGGCTCGGCCAAAAAAAATAGCCTTTGAAGCCGATTAGACGGGTTCAGGCCTATCTACCTCCCCCGGACGAAAAAAGCCTCGTCCGGGTTCCTCTAAACGCAGAGAGTTCGACAGGAGGCGTGCGCAGTCAGAGACCGCTCAACACCATTCTTATTTTTAACCATATCCGTTCCTTTATACAATTTCCGTTCTTTTCTTTCACCAACCCTCAACACCATTGAAACTGAAATTTCTTTTTGTCTGACTTTCTGGGACGAGGAGTCATTATTGGCACTATTTATATTCAGATTATTGCCCACATCTTTGTTGTTACCATCAC